CTGGTTAGTAACTGTGACTAACTGGTTTTGGTCAGTTATCTTCGGTCCAGTGAGGTTATTTTGGGTCTGGGAACGAACCCTAACCGGTCTCGGTCTTGGTTAGAGCCCCTGGGCACCCAATAACCTAACCTAACCAGACTTTTAAACACTAGGTACTGCGAAAACGGATTGCTGTCTGACATTATTTCAGATAGGAATAAACTTTTTGTGTCAAAATTCTGGAAAGCACTTCATAAAATTACAGGTGTCAAGTTGAAGATGTCCACAGCTTATCATCCACAAACAGACAGCGCAAGTGAACACACAAATAAAACTGTCAATCAATGCCTGCGATACCATGTCGAACAGAATCAACTAGGCTGGGCGCTCACTTTACCACACATTTGTTTTCACATGATGAACACAATCAAGAAATCCACAGGATTTACACTGTTTCAACTATGGATGGGGTGCAACCCTTGCCTAATTCCACCACTACTCCCTCAGTCATGCGCATTTTCAGATGAAGAAATATCAGCATGGGACCTAATCCGTCAACTTGAATTGGACGTGGCCGAAGCACAGGACAACCTTTTACATGCAAAAATATCCCAATCCATTGAAGCGAATAAACATCGCTCTTTAACTTTTCCTTTTCATGTTGGTTCACGTGTTCGACTAACGACTCTTCACAGGCAGAACGAATATAAAGCCAAAGGTGAGAAGTGCATGGCAAAATTCATGCCCTGCTATGATGGATCGTACACTATCGTCAACACAGATGAACAACATTCAACAGTAATGGTTGAACTTCCTAACACTCCCAACATTTTCCCTACCTTCCATACATCCGAAGTTCTCCCTTTCATTGAAAACAACGACTCTCTTTTCCCTTTCATTGAAAACAACAACTCTCTTTTCCCTTCACGAAAATTCAAAGAAGCACCACTGATTCTAACACCTGAAGGCAAACAAGAATTTTTCATTGACAAGATTCTACATCAAAGGCACCATGGACGAGGTCATCAATTCCTAGTACACTGGCGTGGTTATGGACAAGACCATGACCAATGGTTACCTGCTTCCGAACTTCAAGAGTGTGCAGCTCTCTATGACTGGTTGGCATCGAGGGGCGAAAGTTGAACTTAAGTAGCTTTTGATTTCTTTCTTGCCAGCTGGTAGCTTTTCCCACTGGGTTTTTAACACACCCATGCTTGGATTTTACTTACATTTCTCTTTCTTTTCTTTTAAAGTGGGGGAGGGTGTAACCACAGATTACACTTGTTTGGCATCACCTTCTCTTGGTCACATCACATATACACTCTGCTCTCTTACCTACCACTGATACAGAGTGTAAGAATACACCCATAAAAATGCGAATTTTAGCAATTTCTCCTATAAAAAACCCCCTATAGTAGAAATACAGTCACGTTGATCATAAGGATCATTAGACACAACCCGGTCTAGTCAATTAAAGTCTACATCCGAGAAATATGCATGCCTTAGGCAGTAGGAATCGCGGTTGGTTCGTGATTGAATCACTTCAACATACTCAAAGTCTAATAAAAGGCTACACTACCATGAAATAGTACACTACAGAGTGTCCTAGAGTAAAAACACCTCAGCACAGGGTGTTGGAGTTTACACCAAACCAGGGTCTCATTTTACTATGGATTAAAAGATATTAATTCGAAGAGAGCCACACGAGCATAGAAGCTCGACGCAAGAAGTCATTCGGTCACGTGCTATGAAGCATGATCCAAGAAGTCATGTGGTGAGACGCATCACATGCATCACATGCATCAACACATCACAAATCATGGCATCATTGATCCAAGTAAAACTCACCTTCGTGAAATATTCCAAAGACTACCAAGAGAGAAAAAAACTATGAACGATTTGCTGTGCGGTCTGAGACCCATGCACAGTATCTAATAATAGAGAGAAAATCACTAAGCAGACCATTTGCCTTGGGTGAACCAATCGTGAAAACCATTTACGGCGATTCCCGTGTACGCATCAATACTGATGCATCACGTCGCCACAATAGAGAAAACACTATGAAAACTTAAAAGTCAGCTCAGCTGTGCCACACACAACTGAGCCACTTCAAACCTTTACTAAAAATCAATATTAATTCATCCGACCTCTCGGACAATGCACAGACGTGTAAATATAAATAGAAAACATAGAATAGTATAAAAAGAGGACGCATGCAGGCTGAAACGTAAGGAATTATCCCCTGCGTTGACCAGCTGTCACACTCCCAGTAGCATCTGAGGTAGTGGATAAGTGTGTAATCAATTAAAGGACATTTTCTTCGCAGACATAAGTAATGTGTGCCCAGAACCAGTGCGTTAAGTGGGGATCACTAAGCTTTTGTAAGGTTGTCTCGTCAATTAGCAAGAGAGCTCTCTACTATTACTGAGGAATCCAAGTGAGCGTGCTTGAAGAGTCTTTAAGACTAGTTTGGATCGAATCAGAGGCATAATAAAAACTTGAGGGAGTTATAAAAGTCTACAAAGCACAATTTCCTTGTCATTTCTCCATATACAGTTAGAACGCAATCCCAGAACACCGAGGTAGTCCCAATAAAAGCTGTTTTCCCTTGAAGACTATTAAGTTTTGAATTCTATACTTGTGCTTGCATGTAAAAACAATACCATTTGTTCCAAAAGGTCTACTAGACTTAGACAAGTGATATAAAATATACAAAATCATTTCTCTGAACTTCTACTTAAGTTCTAACAAAACAAGTGTGGTAATTCTATTTACCATACAAACCCGAACACGAAGCGCCGAGCACATATCTGTGGTGATAAGTGTTTAAGGTGTTAGTGTGTGTGTGTGTGTGTTGTTTAGGTGTTCACGCATCTTGTCAGCGCATCTGATTGCACTTTCCTCACTCCTGTGTGTCACAGTCTTCTCACCACCATCTCACACACTCTCTCATTTGCAATTTTCATTAGTTATCTGGCCGATATCATTGCAATTTTCATTAGATACCTGGGCGATATCATTGGAAATTTCATTAGCTGCTTGGCTGATATCATTGCACTTTTCATTAGTTATCTGGCCAATATCATTTGCAATTTTCATTAGCTACCTGGTCAATATCATTGCGATTTTCATTATTTATCTGGCTGATATCATTGCAATTTTCATTAGAAACCTGGGTGATATCATTGGAAATTTCATTAGATACCTGGGCGATATCATTGGAAATTTCATTAGCTACTTGGCCAATATCATTGTGATTTTCATTATTCATCTGGCCGATATCATTGCAATTTTCATTAGAAACCTGGGCGATATCATTGGAAATTTCATTAGCTACTTGGCCAATATCATTGTGATTTTCATTATTCATCTGGCCGATATCATTGCAATTTTCATTAGAAACCTGGGCAATATCATTGGAAATTTCATTAGCTACTTGGCCAATATCATTGCAATTTTCATTAGAAACCTGGGCGATATCATTGTGATTTTCATTAGAAACCTGGGCGATATCATTGGAAATTTCATTAGCTACTTGGGCAATATCATTGCGATTTTCATTAGAAACCTGGGCGATATCATTGGAAATTTCATTAGCTACTTGGCCAATATCATTGCGATTTTCATTATTCATCTGGCCGATATCATTGCAATTTTCATTAGAAACCTGGGCGATATCATTGGAAATTTCATTAGCTACTTGGTCAATATCATTGCGATTTTCATTAGCTACTTGCCCAATATCATTGTGATTTTCATTAGAAACCTGGGCAATATCATTGGAAATTTCATTAGCTACTTGGCCAATATCATTGCGATTTGAACATTAGAAACCTGGGCGATATCATTGGAAATTTCATTAGCTACTTGGCCAATATCATTGCGATTTTCATTATTCATCTGGCCGATATCATTGCAATTTTCATTAGAAACCTGGGTGATATCATTGGAAATTTCATTAGCTACTTGGTCAATATCATTGTGATTTTCATTAGCTACTTGCCCAATATCATTGTGATTTTCATTAGAAACCTGGGCAATATCATTGGAAATTTCATTAGCTACTTGGCCAATATCATTGCGATTTGAACATCAGGCACTGCCTTCAGGGTCCAGTTCAGGGTACATCCCAAAAGGGAAATATCACCTGGTTTGACTAAAAAGTGAAGAAAACCAAGAGGAGAATGACTTTACCTATCAGGGTCCATGTAAGGGGATGTTGGGATGATGGTCACATGACCAATTACCAAAAATGGTCAAAAAACGAAAATTGTAGCCCTACACTGTAGCTTCCCGAATCTGTTTGAATTATGTTCTGAAGTGCTTTTGTTGTGGAGATATGAGGTAAAGGAATTTCAAAAGTGTCGTGTTTTTTTTTGTTTTTTGTGTTTTTCTCCATGAAAACAAAACCAAATAACATGATTTCAGTATATTTAGAAACACTGCGGGCCCTGGCTTATATATCCATTGGGTATAATGTGAAAAAATGGGGTAGATATTAATAATAATGCTACCTTTTAACTACCAGAATTAGTTGAAAGATATTTAAAATCTTTTATTTCATTTTATCAATTTTTTTTCATCGGAATTATTAAGAATTACGTGGGTGGATAAACTTCGAAGATATTGGAAGAAGATATTTCTACTAAAGGCAATCCATATCTGCACAGAGAATATGTGGAAGATATGTGACACGAGGTGAAGAAACTTCCCAATATAGCAGTATTCTCGGATCTAATTAAACACCTGCTTGATAAGGCTACATTCGCTGGACGTCGGCACTTGCTTCCATCTACGACCTCGTCGCAGCATACAACAGCAACCAAAGCTCAGCGTTCAACGTTCAACATTCAAAATGGACACGGGAACGCGCCCAGCAAGGAGATCCGCAGTTTCACCCAACGTGAGGACCACATTCTCTCTTATGCAAATTTTCAGCTAACAAAGCCTGCTTCAAATTTCGTTCCACTACCTACAAAAAAACCCGACCGACAGACAGAAGGGCGAGCAAGGTAACGATAATGCGACACGAAGACTTTCAAAACCAACGCGTGAACGCCGCCGGAAGGGGGCGGGATAGTGGGCAACGAACAGATACGCTACGGACAGCTGGCGTTTTGCGTTTACGAGCTAGGATAGGCTCGTGGTGAGTACTTACGTCGCATTGGATATCACGCACGAATCGCTAAATGAACTTCCAAAGGAATTCGAATCTTCTCGTATGATGTATCCATATTGCTGCGCTAATTGTCAGCTCCTACTCAGAAGATTTCAGCCACTTCCTTGCAGAATCCTCACTTGGAGCATGGTTGAAGGAGAGCGGCGTACCTGCCCTTTTCGGCGTCGATACCCGTGCTCTCACCAAAAGGATCAGAGAGAAAGGGTCTCTGCTGGGAAAAGCCCTAGTTCGTGCTGAAGGAACGTGACTTAATTGTCCCTGCCCTTTAGACCTATTAAAACAAGCCCTTCCCTCGGTCCCATCCACTTCCTATCCTTGGCGAGAATAATATTTGGGCATTCCCTTCAGCAACCCTAACGACCAAAATTTGGTTGCAGCAGTCTCTATTGCCGCCCCCAAGCTTTATAAAGCTCGACTTCATCCCCCCAGTCGTCCACTGCGCGTACTTGCGATCGACGTTGGGATGAAACACAACCAAATTCGCTGCTTCGCTAAACGAGGTATTGAGCTCAAGGTTGTGCCATGCCCTCCCTACGCCCTTCTCCCTCTTCCCAGGCCCATACATTCCCCTCCAACCCCAACCACTGAAGGGCATAATAAGCCCTGGTAATCGTCCACGAACGCCGTCCCTGCCCTTCCTTGCGACCACGCCCCCACATAGACGGTCGAAGAGTCTAGGCGGTGTCCCCGTTAGAAAGGTCGCGAATTCGAGACTTGGGCTTCCTCATGACTCGGCAGCGGCGGTGTTCCCACATGCGGAAGCGGAAGTTGAGATGCAGGATTTATACAAAAGGAAAGGGAAAGGGAGAGATGCACCCTTGATTGACTTTTCCTCCAGCTCCGAAGGCGAAGAAGGGGAAGATGACGAGGATGTAGGTGTTTTCGGTCGGAGGAAGAATGGGAGGAGTGCAAGGAACTCGCTGGTTCCGGGTGGTCCGCCTGAGTTGGTCGTGATGACGTTGGTCGATCTATCTGACACAACAGCACGTGCACAAGAGGTGGAGGGGGAGAGAGACGTGTTTGGGTTCAAGCATGCGCAAGGCGCTCTGATTTACGGGTATGGGAGGGGTGGGGACGCCGAGCTGCTTTCTCAAAATAAGCAGGACGTCGAGTTGCAATTGGTCACTCTCAAGCGGGACGTCGAGCTGCTTCCGTTCAATCGGAATGCTGCTTCCGCGCGCCACACATCAGGAAATCCCGACAACA